AACGAGGAGCATACAATAATACCCAAGAATACAAAGAAACAAGATTGACAAGTGGGAGGAGGAGTGGGAATTTAAGAAGAGTCAGCTGCTTGAATTTCAGAGAGAGGCAGCATGGGACCAATCAGCCTTGCTCAGTTCAAGCGTAAAACCAAAGTGATTGGTAATATTCTGTGACTTGCAATTTGTGTACTTCGATATATGCATTCGTGTTAACTTGACAGGGTACAGGATGAGAGGCTATAAAAAGTGGGTCCCAACTTTAGGCACAGGTGTAATGCCCACTCTCTGAAGTTTATAAACTAAACCCAGCAACAATGATGTGAAAACATAGAAAGGTGCAAGGGAATATCAAACTACCAGGACATTGGTAACTAGAAAGGAATAGGCCATGGGAGATGAGCATCTAATTTTCTTTTCCTTTTTTTATTTTTAGATCCTCAGAAGACTTAACTTTATTTTTTTAATTTAAATTCAATTAGCCAACATAGAGTACATCATTTGTTTCAGATGTAGTGTTCAATAATTCATCAGTTGTGTATAACACCCAGTGCTCATCATATCACGTGCCCTCCTTAATGCCCATCACCCGGTTACCCCATCCCCCCACCCCCCGCCCCTCCAGCAACCCTCAGTTTGTTTCCTGTAGTTAAGAGTCTCTCATGGTTTGTCTCCCTCTGATTTCTTCCCAGTTTTCCCTTCCTTCCCTTATCCTCTGTGCTGTTTCTTATATTCCTCATATGAGTGAAACCGTATGATAATTGTCTTTATTTCGCGCAGCATAATACCCTCCAGTTCCATCCACATCAATGTAAATGGTAAATATTCATCCTTCCTGATGGCTGAGTAATATTCCATTGTGTATATATACCACATCTTCTTTATCCATTCATCTGTTGATGGACACCTGGGTTCTTTCCACAGTTTGGAAAGAACTACTGTGGACATTGCTGCTATGAACATTGGGGTGCAGGTGCCCCTTCAGATCACTACAGTTGGGGTAGCAATCCTCATATCAGACAAATTAGATTTTAAACTAAAGACTGTAGTAGGAATGAGGAGGGATACTATATCATACTAAAGGGTCTATCCAACAAGAAGATCTAACAATTATAAATATTTATGCTAACTTGGGAGCAGCCAATTATATAAACCAATTAATAACAAAATTAAAGAGACACGTTAATAATAATACAATAATAATAGTAGGGGACTTCAACACCATCCACAGCAATGGACAGATCATCTAAGCAGAAGATCAATAAGGAAACAAGAGCTTTGAATGACACACTGGACCAGATGGACTTAACAGATATACACAGAGCATTCCATCCTAAAGCAACAGAATACACATTCTTCTCAAGTGCACATGGAACATTCTCCAGAATAGATCACAAACTGGTCACAAATCAGGTCTCAACCGGTACCAAAAGATTGGGATTATTTCCTGCATATTTTCAGACCACAATGCCTTGAAACTTGAACTCAATCACAAGAGGAAATTTGGAAGAAACTCCAACACTTGGAGGTTAAAGAGCATCCCACTAAAGAATTAATGGGTTAACCAGGAAACTAAAGAAGAATAAAAATATTCATGGAAACAAAAATGAAAACACAACTGTTCAAAGCCTTTGGGATACAGCAAAGGTGGTCCTAAGAGGGAAGTATACAGTAATACAAGCCTTTCTCAAAAAATTAGAAAAGTCTCAAAAACATAAGCTAACCTTACACCTAAAGGAGCTGGAGAAAGAAGAGCATCTAATTTTCAAAGAATGGAAGCATCCATAAAAGAAAGGAATGAAGAGGGGAGCGCGTGGGTGGCTCAGTCAGCTAGGTGTCCAGCGCTTGATCTTGCCTCAGGTCATGATTCCAGGGTCATGAGATGGAGCCCTGCAGATGCAGACAGGCTCTGCACTCAACAGGGAGTCTGCTTGAGATTCTCTCTCCGGCTCCCTCTGCCCCTCCCCTGCTCCCCCATCTTTCTCACTCTTTCTCTCTCTCTCAAATAGATAAATAAATCCTTAAAAAAATAAAGGAATGAAGGAAGGGAGGGAAGGGAAAGGATGAAAAGAGTAAATGTAAAAATAGGGGTAAAAGGAATAGACATTAACCATGGTTAGCCCTGGGTGAAATGAATATAAATGACCTTTATTTTCTTCATTTTGATTAGCTGTATTTGTTAAATTTTCTCATTGTGTGTTTTCCATTGCCCATTTCCCACTATAAATGCTTTAAGGGAAAATAATCGATTTCCCAGCCTCCAAAGCAATGCCAGGTTTGCTAGGATTACAAAGGCCAGGTTTAACCTTGAAAGTTCTTATTTTAATTTCTAGTATGCAAATCTTGCCCTCTAGGAATTCATTCTCCTTTGCCTTTGAGTATTATCATTTATTGCACTTAAAGGTACACCTGAGAAAGAAGCAATTTAATTAGAAAGAGAGAGGAAGGAAAGAAATGTCCTTACTTAAGCCATCAACACATTTTGAAAAATAAAAAAATGACAAGATAAAATATTAAGAAAAGTAAGCATTGACCAATCCAAGCATATTTAAATTCTGTAATATTAGAAGTCACCTACTATTCACTGGATAGATAAGTCAACTTTTCAATCAAAGTGGCTTATTTTACAGATGCATTCTCTGACTCTATAAACTTTCCCATCACTTAAACATTTCACTAAATCCTCCTTCCATGAAGAACTTTCCAGATTGGTCAGAAAAAAAATGTGACAATACTATCTTTTTTCCCCTTTGAACAATATCATTTTTTTCTCTAACTCTAATAGACTGTATCAAGGAGGAACACTTTTTGTTCCTAGTAACAGGAAACTGTATTTAAATCTGTGCTTAAATCATAGGAATCATATTACCTCACTCAACCAGTAGTCTGGAGGTAGATGGTTCCAGGGTTCTTTCAGGGGCTTATCGATATCATCAAGACCCAGACACTTCTCACACTCCCATGCCATCGTCCTTAGCATGTTGGTTTTTATTCCCATGCCTGTGGCCTCAGTGTTGCAAAATGGCTGCTGCAACACCAGACATTACATCCTCATGCTAGGCTTGAATGTAAGAATCAAGGGCATAGCAAAAGATGGTCTTCTCTCAGAAGGCTCTGTCCTTTATCCAGGGAAGAAACACTTCCAGCAGTCTTCCTTATGGCCCCCAAAGTCAGAACTGGATCACACGGGTACTCCTAGTTACAAGGGAGGCTGTGCAAGTATCTCCTTTTTAAGCCTTCCTCCTTGATCCAGTATCTTCATCTGTAATGGGACATCACTAGAATGACTTGTCCTGTCCTCCCCTCCCAGGGGGTGGCCTGCCTCTGTTCCAGTCCTGGTGCTCTGACTGAAAGTTTACTCTCTAAAACTAATTGCAATACATACGTGAAGTTGTCTCACTTTCAAATACACACTGTTGTGCCTATCACTTAAAAATCCACGAATGCTTAATTCAGAAATTAAAGATAGAAAGTATTCATGTTTTATTATAGTTCAGGCATTGAAATACTCCATAAAAATTTCTTTCCACTAATTCTACATTGTAAGTTATTTGAGGTAGTCGTCATGTCTTTCACTATTTTTATGCTTCAGAAAGTCCTCAGAACAAAGATGCTCAGATGTCAGTTGCTCTATACCCACTCCTTAAGGGGAGTTATTCATGACCTGAAGGAACATCAAAATAGTGCTTTGAAAAGGAAGAGCATCCCGGAAGATGAAGCAGTTTGTACCTCTGCTTTCATTAGTGAAAATGACCTTATGCCAATGCCTTTCTGCCCAACCAATAAAAAGTACACATATGTTCCCAGGAGCAAAAAGCCCCCTAAACCCTTGCGGAAATCCACTGGTTCACTTCCTCTAGCGGCTCAGATCTGGATTTGTACTCCCCAGGTGGAGTGCCTGTCCGCTGGACTTCCAGAGCTGAGGGAAGGAAATTCACATCCTCACTTAGTTATTTTAAGAGCCCAAGACTGACAGGGATTGGTCTAACGTGCTAGTGAACACCGTGGGAGCTGGATCAGACCTCCTGGGTTCAAATCCGACTCTGTTAACCAGGCGTGCAACTTTGAGCAACCATTTAGCTTTCAGCGTTAGGGTCTCCTCGCCTATCAAGTGAGGAAAACAACAGCACCTACGTCCTAGGGCTCCTGTGAGGAGTAAACGAGTCAATCTCCAGAAAGCCCTGGAAAAAGCGCCTGGCTGGCACACAGCGAACCGTTAATATTACGCCTTTCAACTTAGAGTGCCTGCAACTCTGCAACATTTTGCCTGGGTATGAAACAGGTCCTGGGAATTACAAAACTGGAATCCTGAGAGCCGAGTGGCCATGGCTAGGGACTCGGAGAGGAAAGGAGAAAAGAAAACGGGGCAGGGGCAGAGAGAGAGCTGGGGCGACATTTACACAGCGGTGCCCACCTACATACAGCCTCGGTCACCTGGTCTACCGTTCCTTCTTGGAGAAGGAGTCGGACCGGCGAGCGGCGCAGCACGGCGTTTCTCCAATCAGACACCCCCGGCTGGCGCCACGTACGCGACCTGATCCAATCTGGTCCCCAGGAGGGCGGGAACGCGAAGTTCCTACCTGCACCTGTGGCAGCTGTGGCCGCCTCCTCGGTTGTTTGTTGTTGGGTTTTTTTGTTGTTTTTTTCCCCCCCCATCTGACCCGGGGTTCTGGTTTCTCGAATCACTTGGCGAATACCCAGCAGGTGGGCAGAGAGATGTCTTTTCCAAAGCAGAGGACCGACGTGTAGGCAAATTCAATGCACCAGAGTGAGCAGCCGAGGTCCCATCTCCCCGCGGCTGCCGGAAACAGGCGCTAGCAGGGAAGAGGGACGCGCGCGAGAATGAAAGGCTTACTAACCTGGAGAGCCTGCCTGGGCATTTACCTGGGGCAGTGAGCCTGGCACCTGTTCGCCGGGCGCCCTTCGGCCGGAGCCGAACTCACCGCGAGCCCAGAACTGCCGCCACGCTGCGGCGGGCAGAAGTTAGAGGCGCCGGAGGAGACCAACAATAGTAATCGGCTTAGCTGGACTGCAGAGATTTCGGCTGACACACCTTCCAGAAAGAAGCCCGACCTCCCCAAGACCGCGCGGGAGGACGCTGCGCCTGGCTTCCAGGTTGTCCCAAGTGCACCCCCTCCGTTCTCTTGGAGGCGAGGGCAACGCGGAGTCGTGGGATCCTGGGAAGCCCGAACAGGTGAGTGATGAGGGTTATTCTGCGTCCGCCAAGACACAGCCCATTCCGGGGTGTCAACCTGGGGTAGACTCCCCCCAGCTCCCGCGGAGAAGTTGCGAGCCGCAGGCGCTCCGCGTACATTTGCGTAATTTGCAGTCTTTTCCTTGTGCAATTAGTGCAAAGCGTTTCCGCGCACACGGTTGTGAAAAAGAGAATGTAGGGTGGAAGACAGAGGCAGCCATCAGGACACCCCCACCACCAATGAATAATTTGGGGGTGCTTCTCCGATCTGTACAATAGAGGGAGCAGGATGTTTGCAAACCCAACTGCAAACTGTGCCTGGGGGGAGTGGGTGCCTTTTTACGGGAAGAACTTTTGGCGGTTTTATCTTCTATTGTTTTCAAGTCGCAGCCCGAGTGTGCCCTCGGGGCGTCTGGGGAGGAACCGGGGCCCAGGTCCCTGCTGCGGAGGCCGCCGCGCCGCCTCGCGTAGGCGCTCCAACTTTCCCAGCGGTTCCGGGAGCAAAGCCTCCAACAACAAACACCTCTGAAGTTTCGCTCCCCGGCGCGCCGGCAAATCCCGGGAGCGCCAGGCGCGTGGGATGGGAAGGAGCCCAGAGGAAACCTGGAACTGCTCCGCCGCACAAGCGAATCCTGCGCATTCGTAAGAGTTAGCGCCCATAGAGCCAGCACAGAAAGTGCTCACAGGACTCTCGCTTCCGATATTAGCACCTTCAGGGTCAAGAAACAGCCTTTTCGCTCCGCAGAGCCCTGTTTTAAAAGTTGGGGAGAAGCCCAACGGTTTGGAGTTCCTGGTTGCGCACAGCATGTTTCCTCTCTGGAGAAAGGAACTGCGAAAAAACAAACAAATCTTTCATTTGTAACTAAAAATCTCAAGAATTGAGTTGCCTGGTACAAACAGGCTCGGTGCATATTTTAATACAGAACTGAGAGAAGAGGACATTTGCCGCTTGGCCTCATCTCAACCATCCGCTGGGGGTGGCTTCAAAGAGGCGTAAGATTGGTCTCTGGGGAATAAAAGGAAGCGTGGGATGGCGGTTTTCAAGGGAAGTTAAGTCTAGACATGTTTCTCTGAAAGCGACAAGGCAGAAGTTCTGTCGAAAGCAGAATTTAAAAGAAACAAACCAAACACCGTGAGCTTGACCCTCGCTCTTGTTGGCGTGTAAATTCCCCCTGAAAAATCACATGGAAAAGGGTCATGTGAGAGAAGTCCATGGAAAAAAGCCTTTGAGGGAAATTTCGGAACTGTTGACAGGGGTCTCATATTCAGTGCTCACCTATAGGAGGGACGTACTCGCTCCCGGGCGCCCTCCTCCCAGGTGCTCATCGAAGAGGAGGCCCCTCTGGGCCAAGTGGGTCACCTTTGGGCGTCCCTCTACAGTCGGTAGAGGTGAGGGGACAGGCCAGCTTCCCTCTCGAGCCCGGTTCATTCAGATGCCCGGGAAACTCCCCTGGGGACCCGGGGCGCGCGGGTCACCGCACCGGCCGGGGAGGCCAGGAACGGTTTGAGGCGGGGGAGTGCCAAGCTGTCTGGAGACCAGACGGTGGCGCCCTGGGGGCCACTCGTCCGCCTTCGCTCTCTGGGGCGCAGCCGGGCACTCGGAGGGCCGCGCAGCTCCCCGCGCACGGCTGGGGGACCGCGTGCCGGGCGGGGCGAGGGGAGGAAGTGCGGTTGGGGGTATGTGACTTAGACAAACCCCGTAACGAAGTTCTGTTTGCTTCCACCCGCACAGGCGGCTGCCTAGGCTCCCACCCCGCAGACCGCCCGCCCCACCGGGAGAGCGAGCCCTTCCCCACCCGCCGCGCCCCGGGCCCCTCGGCCGGCCGGCCATGGCCCACAGCGGCGGCACCGGCAGCTCCGGGCCCTGGTGGAAATCGCTAACCAACAGCAGGAAGAAAAGCAAGGAAGCCGCGGTAGGGGCACAGCCTCCCGCGCAAGCCGCCCCCGGGGAGCCCGCGCCGGCCGCGCCGCCCAGCCCGGACTGGACTAGCAGCTCCCGGGAGAATCAGCACCCCAATCTCCTCGGGGGGACCGGCGAGCCCCACAAGCCCGACAAGTTGTGCGGAGAGAAATCGGGCGGCAACCGCCGCAATTTGAAGATCTCGCGCTCCGGCCGCTTTAAAGAGAAGAGGAAAGTTCGCGCCACTCTGCTCCCCGAAGGAGTCAGGTCCCCGGAGGAGGCGGACTTCCCTGGTGACCCGCACGGCGACACGCAATAGCCAGAGCGCTCCAGGACTGTGTCTTCCCACCACTCCTCTCTACCCCCAGTTCCAAACCCGAGATTTCTGGCCCGCCCCAATACCCAGTGTCTCATCCCACCAACTTCAGAATATTCACACAAGGCCTCCACGATTTTATTTTCCTGGAAATCGAAGTGTCCACTGAGTTTTCAATATTTCATGACTCAAGGAGGCATTGAGTATTTATCTGTGGTAAGAGAATATACCTGCCACAGAGGAAGTTGGCATAATTATTTTTTCCCCAAAAGTTCTCCCGTGGCCTCCACCCCTTGTTCCACCTGGGGAGTGAGAAGGGTACTTCTCTGAGTTGGTAACCCAGCTGGGACTGCACAGCCCCTCAAAGGAGGAGGCCGTGCCTTGATTCAGGACTTGCTATTGGAAAGCAAATTAACGCCAGAGAAATGCACTTTAGACGTACTTCGTAGACTCAGACCTTAAGTGAAGGGACAAGAGAGGGCAGGAAACCTTAGGTAGAAGCATTTTTAAGTAAGGCAAGATTGCTTTTAATGTTGAACTACAAAACTGTACTGCCTATTTTAGTGTGGACTATTAAAATTGTTGCACTGTAAAACTTAACGTGACTTTTGTGTTTTTTCCATTGCAAGACTGAAGTCCATCATACTTAAAAGCAGGCATACAAAAGCCAAAGTGACAGAGTTAATCATTTGCCACACAACCCAATATCTACTCTTGGAAAGCTACAGGGAGGAGAACATTTCTGAAAACTAGTAACACCCAGGCTGGAACCAGTTGACCCAATATCTCTATTTACTAACTAAATTTGAGGAAGGGAGGGAGAAGTACTAAATAGTTACTCCTAAATTCTCTTTGTTACTTCATACAGTAGAGTAGCTCACAACGCCAGTAATAATTCTTTTCACTATCCATCCTTAACCTTACTAACCATTGTCTGAAAACACTTACTCAGATGGACTAAACTCTTTGTGCAAAGCTCACTTCATTTCCCACCCCTTTGCTTCAAAAGCTTATTTCTTTAGTCTGACTTATGCATGTATCTGGTTTCAAAGTCTTTAGGTGTACTAATCTGAAGATTATGAACAAAAATCTACCTGTTTGCTTTTGTTATGAACTTCAAGAAAAGGAGTAAATGAATACCACTTGCTTTCAGCAGATTGCAAGAGAGTTATTGTCGTTGTTAAGGGCCACTGGGATCATTCCCACCACAATTCAGTTCATTTATAACCATCTAGAAGTACATAGCAAGGAAATTGTAGTGGTCAAAGTATGTATGTGTATATGTGTGTGTAAATATATATATATATGTAATTAAACCATATATACATATGGTTTAGATAATTATAAGCAAGAACTTGACTGGAGCTTCTGAATGTGTTACATAGAAAGGGGCAGGTTTTTGTTTCTCTCAAATTAGTTATTTATAAAATAGCAAAACATGTTCATTGGCTGAAGAGACTGAACAAAGAAACTCGATGAAAATAGCTAAAATGGACTTACATTAGTGAATTAAGTTTGGGTACCAGCACAATAAAAGAGTTTACCATTTGATACATGATTTCCCCATACCAAAGCCTTAATCCAAAGGAAATTGTTCATATGAGGATTATGAACTATGAATACCTTACGTTAAAAGGGAAAATATATGAGCTTTTTTTTTTTTAAATCATGAAAAGAGTTATTTTTGTTGTGTATTTAGAACTGGGAATACGTGACCAGAGTCTCATCAGTGTGAGCTTCCAGGATGAGGAAGACTTTATATTTGGTTTTAAGTGGGTCTCCCATCTCTAGAGTCTGATGAAGAAGAGGGAGTGGAGAACATGCTGGAGAAGTTCATGGTAAGGAGGGGACTGAGGCCTGGCAGATCACCAGGAGTAAAGCAAGCAGAAGCTGCCAAATAAGGCTTTGGAACACCTTCGTAAGGCATTTTGATTCCACTGTGTAGAAAGTAATCAAAATTAGGGTGGATAACTACCCACAATACTTTCCGCCTCCCAGGAGGACCAATAGATTAGGACTGTACCCATTTACAAAATCAAGCCTGCAATTGCATAATTTTAAAATTTTACACTCTTTCATTCATAGTTTTATTGTTTTAAAAAACATTTTTTTTAAAAAAATTCCTCTCAATTCACAAAGCATTGGCATTTTCCCAGGTTCTATATCTTGTTTGGGATCGCATCCAAGTCTATAATTGCTGCAGATAATCCATTGCAGACATATAGCAGTGGAACTTATTCACATGACATCTTTACCTCACTGTTCTGGAAGAATTGAAAACCATGCTAATGGCACTTATGACAGAGAGTGCAATACACAATCTGCAGTTGAGGTTTGTAATTACACCGTTTTAAAGCAGTCCTAATTGTGCAGTGGGAGGAATGCCCTGATTTAATCCCAACTCAGTGAAATCAGAAACCAAGCAAAATTGGTGGGATGAAAAGATCATGGGTAAGATGAGATAATTTGACAGTGTCTTGCCGGGATTTATACGCTTTACAGATGATTAATTACATTCTCATACTATGTATACAGATTTAAGTTTTTTAAACTTCAAGATGATTTATAGTAAATCAAGGGAAAGTGTTGAATTAAATTTGAAGTTAGATTAGAGACTTTTTGCTTAAAACGCCTTACAAATGAAATTTCACCCGCAAGTTTGGAAACCATTAAAGAAATTTTAATACCATGCTTCCAAATGATATGGGGAGAAATGGGACAAAAATCTAGGTGTGTGTTGGCTAAATGCTTTTATAACCATGATAATTATATACACAGGGTAGTTTTCGCTTCTGTGTCTCTCCTTGCTGAGCAGTGACTCGTATCACAGTCACTTGAACGTCCCTTTTTGTTCATACTTCCATTGTTCACATTGTTCGTCCCATTGTGATTTGCATTTCAAGAGCAGAGACTCTATTTTGTGTATGCAGTTAGGACATTCTGCTTCAGTATAACACTGAGAAGTACTTTTTGTGCTTTGAAATATAACGTGAACTCAGCAAGCCTGATTTTGCCACATCCTTAGAAAGAAACTATAAACCTAATGAACAGTAGCACTGGCTAAAGCTTTGTCAGAAATAGTTCTCCTGAGGGATGCCTGGGTGGCTCAGTTGATTAAGTGTCTGCCTCCCGCTTGGGTCATAATCCCAGGGTCCTGGGATCGAGTTCCGCTTGGGCTCCTTGCTCAGAGGGGAGCCTGCTTCTCCATCTGCCTGTCTCTTCCCCTGCTTGTGTGCTCTCTCTCTCCCTGACAAATAAATAAAATCTATTAAAAAAATAGTTCTTCCAAGATGCTCAGAGGAAAATTTTGGTGCCTTCAAATAAATAATAAAAATGAGCAGGAAGAATTTCAAATAAAAAGTGAATCAGAAAGGAATAAGTAAAAGAGTGGGATAATAATATCCAGTGACCACAGGACACTTTTTATGAGGAAAAGAGAGAAAGAGTATTATTTTTCCCTAGCCGAGTCAGGTCAGCCAGACATCAGAAACTAACACACAAAAAGTTGGCCTGATAGATACAGCAAAGGAAACTGATCTTTTAAAAGTCTATTTGATTCATGGAGCATTTTATTATAATCATACAGAAATGTAGGAGATTCTTTCTTGGAATAAGCTCAAGTTTATCTCCATGGCAAGTAGAAAGTGGGACAAGAGATATTTTATACCATTTGAGTATCACTATACAAGTACCTGAGACTAGAAACAAGTGTGCAGCCCTGGGCAAACTTTGTCATTGATAAGCTGACTGTCCATTAGGCATCATTCTTCTCAGCTCTTCTCTGTAGTACGCCACCCCATACTCTCTTTGCCTCCCAGCCATTGCACGTGCATTCCAGTTAGGCTCAGGGTCATAGAAGAGGGGGTGCCAGGAGGCATAGGGCCTTCTCCGGCCTCCTGCAGGCTCAGCATGTAGACACAGCCACTCTGTCAAAAGATGGCCCTGCAGATTTGGAATATGGGAAGTATAGCGTTCATGATGAGAGAAGATTATTACTAAGGAGATAGGATACAGGGAAACAATGTAGGCCTTCCCTAGCAGAGGACAGCTGACCATTTGTATAGAAATGGGAACAGCTATAGACCACAATAAATAAGACAGAGGACATAAGCGATCCTTCCATGTATTCAAGCCAAGGAATTCAGCCCTACTTCCAAACTGAATTGTGCTACAGATGACAAAATCTTGGACCGGTCATTACCATGTCAGAGTTGTTGGAAAACCTCGTGCAATTAAAAAGATCCATGAGGAAGTGGTTTTATCTGAGATGTGTAACAAGTTTGTTACCCGTGAGACAGAAATTTCTGGCTCTAAAACTAGAGAGAACCATGTTGAAGAAGCTGAAGGTCCCTGTCCATTAGAGGAGCTACCGATTGACCTGTCCGTTAAGTAGGGAATATGGGGCCCATCTTGGACCTCCTCATGCCCTTTTTGAAGGGATTTTCCTTGAGTTAAAATGACCTGGATTATTAATTTCTTTCTAGTTCCAGTCCACAAGTATAACTGCTGATTCACACCCTACAAAAATGGCAGCAAAAAGTTCCCACACAGTTTTCCAAGACACTCAATCACAGTTGTCTCTCTGACTCGTTCTTGAGTCTTTGACAACCTGATGTCAGTTTATTATTCTGTAAAATGATGGGATGGAGGCCATATTCCAGCTTTAAAACTCCCTGAGTATTCTGCTATTTTGAGCAGCTGGTTGTAAAATTAGTTCCTATAATGCTCATTGTTTACTACAAAACACAAAGGCACCACCTGTTCAGTGCTGATGGTCAGGTGGGAGCCAGGGAGAATAATAAACTGTGATAAGGCTACTGCCTCATGTCATCATCTGGCCCAATAGTTGAGGTGATTCTGCTCTACAGGAACATCGAGGCTCATTGCTCATGTTAGAATCAAATATTTAACAGTTTGTCCTGTTACCTCAGTTTAGCATATTCTTTGCCCACCGCCTGCCTGGCAAAGCCTCAATCTACCTTCAAGATTCAAGAGTCTCCCTCAGGGTAACTGTCAGAAACCTCCTTCCCCCAAAACACAGCTCCTGGAACATCTGTGAGCCTGTGTTACCCACCACCACTGACCATATTATGTGTATGTGATCATGTGTCTCTCTATCGCTTTGGTCAGGGAGCTCAGGGAAATTCAAGAAGCAATGCTTATTCTTCATTCCCCTGCATGAACTCCTGGATTATCTACTAGGACATGGACTTCCAGGTAGGGAGCATGTGCAACCAGCATGTAGCTCTTGGTAGGGCCATAATTTTTTCTCCTCTAAGGAGGCAGGCTATGTCTGGCTGGTAGAGGAATATCTGAGGGTTGTGAATTGGTCAGAGTCTGATCAGGAGAGAGAAAATGGAGTAATTTGAACAGGGAGCATTTAATATAAAGAATTATTACCCATAACAGGGATGGCTAATAAGAAGTAATGAGAGATTGGCCAGTAAGGAGTAAAGAGAACCCCCAAAAATACAGGAATAAAGATAAAGGACAGCCACCACCTGGGAGCTGAGATAGATTGCTCTTGCCTCCAACCACCCCGTGACCCAATTGGAAAGGGTACCGCCATGAACCACTGATTGGCAGA